TATTTGTGTGTTTTACCTTAAGAATATGTTACTTTGAGGTGGTTTTTACTATTTTGAAGGTACATGAACTTTTGGAATGCATTAGGAAGAAATCGTGCAAAATGCGTCGAGAATCGGAGTTGAAAAGAGGAAGAAAAATGAGAAGCAACTAGATGGCGCCACAACTGAGTTTTTCAACACCACAGTGCTAAAAAGTGATCTGGGTAAAAAGTTAATGCCGCGGTGTGAAGAATTCGACGCCACGACGCAAAAGAGTTTAAGGTTTGCAAGAAGATTCGGCCCTGTGGCGTGGATCACGGAGAAAATAAAATTCTCACATTTTCCAACTCCAACTTGAATTTGTATTTTCCCAAAAACACCCCTAGCAAAGAAAAACTATAAATAGAACATTGTAATTTATTTTAAGAGAATTCTCTTTGACATAAATTGAGAGTTTTATGTTTTTGAGAGTGTTACTTTATTAAGAGAAATTGTGAGTTTTCAACAAGGGAGAGAAGGAAAAGGATCAATCTACTTCAATTCCTAGGTGATTTCTTTTCAATTACATCTTATTTTGCAATATGATTAGTTTTTCATTAATTGAGTTCATTGGTTTGAGTTTAATTATGAACAACTAAATATATTGTGGCAGTTTAGTTTAACCATCATGATTGTATTGGGTATTCGGTGATTTGTTTTATGAAAATTTTAGATTGTTCTTCATGATATTAATTATAATTTGTTGACTGGTCAATTACTTTTTATAATTAAAATTGAGAATTAGGGTTCTAGTGATCATCTTGCCTTGATTAAGCTCTATTAAACAAGAGTTCAAGTTGAATACATGATCATTGTTTTGATTTGGATGGTTGTATGATTTCCTTGTGCAAATTACAATTAATTAGTTAACAACTTGATCATAAAAGTTAATTAGTTAATTATAAACGGAGAATAAACATTATCATTGGAATTCTCCATGGCTTAGTGGAAAAATCAACAATCTGAACTTAGGATTTAATTGTTTTATTTGCCAAATATTCCAATACATGATTGAGAAGTCGCCACTATCACTCTCATTGATTGAATTCACTTCAGCAAATTGCATTCGTTAATTTTAATTAATTTATAGTTTTATTTTAGATTAATTTCCTCCATCTTTTGGTTAGAGTGTTAGGATTTAATTAATTGTTTTGTTTAGTTGTTAAAGAAAATAAATTAAGAATTTAGACCACTGCAATTCCGCGAGAGATCGACCTTGGTAGTATACTTATCGCTAGCTATTAGCGATTCGTGCACTTGCGAGTACTAAATTTGCACATCATTAAGTCATAGGCAGCTTAATGTATGTAATGATATGTACAAGACATGATATAGCTTATGCTATAACTGTTATGAGCAGATATCAGTCAAATCCAAGGAAGAAACATTGGTCAGTTGTAAAATTGATCCTCAAGTACTTAAGAAGAACTAAGGATTTGATTCTGAGTTATGAATGTTCAAAATTAAACATTCAAGGATACTCAGATTCTGATTTCTAATCAGATATTGATGATAGAAAATCTACATCATGGTTCATTTTTGTATCTAATAGAGGTGCTGTTAGATAGAAAAGTTTCAAACAGACAACTAAATAGACTCCACTACAAAAGTTGAATACATTGCTACTTCAGAAACAGCAAAAGAGGTTGTTTGGATGCATAAGTTCGTATCTGAACTAGGTGTGGTTCCAAACATGGCTTACCTAATAAGCATGTTCTATGACAATACTTGAGCTATTGCACAGGAAAAGGAACCAAAAATCCAAACATATTCAACGAAAGTATCACATTTTGAGAGAATTCGTTGGAGCTTGAGAGATTATAATACTGAAGACATATTCAGCAGAAAATGTAGCTGATCCACTAACTAAGGTGATGACACAGAAGCAATTGGACCATCATCTTGAGAAGATGGGTATGAGATACAACAACGAATGGCTTTGGTGTAAGTGGGAGTTTGTTAGTGTATGCCCTAGAAAGCATTCGTGTTATCAGTTTCAGAGCATTTTATCTTGTATCAATATTTTATAAATAATAAAAGAAAGAGTTCTTCAATTCATATATATTACCTGCTTCCTTTATTCTTTCATGCATTTAAAATAAAGTATGTATATGAATTGTCTAGATAATTCATTTAATAAGTAAATGAATTTATCAAAAGGTTCCTTGCGGAAGCAAAAATGAATTTATCAAAAGGTTCCTTACGGAAGCAATATTATTTGGGCAACAATATTGCATAGTAGGCATACAAAATGCTTTCAAAAGATATTATGAGTTGATATAAGTACGGAAGACGATGATAATCATGTCATTAGGGCATTAGTATGGATTAGCGGTTGGTGAACTATTTTTCGAACGTGACCGAATAACGACAAATCACTTGAAAAAGCATGTAGTCAATGATTTATCATTTGGTTATATCAGTACATGATGTAGTCCTTTGACTTGAGACATCGCGATCGGATACGTATGGTTCATATGGTGTATAAGTAAGAGACTAGTCATGTTTCCTATGATAAAGCTTATTTGGTCATGCATCGTTCATATGCATAAACGAACAATGGTCAAGACAAGAACCATTGACTCGAAAATATAGGATCAAGAGTATCGTTGACTCCATCCGGATCCGAGTTCCTGGACGAACGTTGATAAATGTTGGAAACCAAAACCTTTAGCCATAATATATCATTAGTCATACGAAAGTAAGTTCATGATCACAAGTTCCAAATATATTGATTAACGATTCAAAAGAATATCGAGTTTAGGATTTTGGTGTTCCATGAATTCATGCTCGATCAAGTTATATCAATGGAGAGACTTTATCTGCATGGCACATATGATCTGAAAAAGGGTTCCATGAAGTATTTTTTTTATCATGGTTTAGGGACTATGACACATTGCTAAATGTTTACCATAGTCGTTGGGCCTCCGGACAAGTTTTTAGAAAGATCCAAAACCGGCTCACAACTAATCCACGGTAGACCTACATGGTCACACCAATAACCTTGTGCAGTTAGAGAAAAAAGAGGATGAAGAAAAGATTATCCAAAGAAGGCTAGCACCTTTCGGGGGTAATAATGGAATTTCTATGTAAATCGTTACATAGAATTATTCATGACATTTTAAAGGTTAAAATGGTTAAGTTATAATTAATTGAATTTTATTATAATATCTTAAAGGGGTAAGATAAATAAAATAAAAAATGGGCCAAATTACTAAATGCTTGAGTTCAATTAAAAATAAGATTTTTATAAGGGCATGCAAGTAAAAAGTGGTAATTAAAATTTTGCCCTAGTCTATATAAGTGAAAGGAAAATGGATTTTAGAACATAATTTTCTTTTCTCTTATCTATCTACCTCTTGGCTCTCTCTCTTGCCTTGCTGGTGTTAAAGTGTGGAGGATTCATCCTTTTGGATCTTGGCTTCATCAAACCTTGGCACTAGGCGAAGGTTTAACCCATTACTTGTTCCATGTATGTGTTTTTTCATTCCTAAGTTTTATATCTAGGCTTGCATGCTTGTTTTTCATGCTTGCCATCTTATTTCCACCACTACTTCATATCTTTCAAAAAATGTAGCATTTTCATATATTTATAAAATTTGATTGTATTTTGTATCCCCAATTCATTTAGCAAAGGTTAAAGCGACGCCGGAATTGGCAAAAATTCTCCAAAAAGTTGACACCAACTTAGATGATCTACATGCTGCCAAAGAAAAATTCAAAGAAGTAATTGACCAAATGTTAGATATCATACAATCTGCCATGGATATTATTTATGATATAAACACAAGAAAGTATGCATTTGTTGTAGAGGAACTGAAAATCTTAAGGAAAATAAAAAAGAACCCCCATCTACATCATCCAAACCTACTTGACAGAATGAAAAACCAATGTATACATTTCCTTAATAATAAAAATACATTAAATAAATTTCAAGTTACTGATTGCTTAATATTAAACTGACTACTTGATTCTCTATATGCTACTTTATTTTGCTTTCCCTCTTAATCTTTACCAAATCCAACATTCCCCATAATAATATATGTGGGAAAAATATGCTTAACAATTATTATGGCTGAAAATAAGTAGTTTATGTCATTACCATAAAGTTGTTTACAAACTGTTTCAAAAACATCCAATAAACATACCCGCACAACGTGCGGGCTTCCCATCTAGTTTATTATCGAGTCAAGAATGTTTAATAACAAAAATCCTCTAGATGTTTAAAATAACCAAAAAAATTCTTACTTTTAATAATTTTTTTGTAAATTGTTATTATTATAGGTGGATAAATATTTATCGAACTATTCGGGCTATTCATTTAACACTTAAAACTTAATTGCGGAAAATTTATGTTATTTCAAAAACTTCAAAGTTGTTGTTCAACCTAAAACTATACACATGGTTAATGGAGACCATGTTGTCGAATGTCAAAGATCTAATCATCAATAAGGAAATGACATCGAAATCACCAAAACGAGATCGACATAGTCATCAATTAATAAAACCTTGAACTTGTTGGATGTGATTTATACTTTGCACAGGGTTAACACCGATGCATTCAGGGGTCCCGTTCCTTGGTGAGTGTCATAGTGGAAAATCTAATGTGAGAAATAGAATGAAATAGTGAATTACCGATACTTTTCATTATCGTATTATGCAGATATAAAACTACTCTATTTGAATACTGGACGTAAGTCCTTCATTGGAATGAACCAGTGTAAATCGACTATTTTTTTCTTACTTCTATGTTTTCATTGTTGTGTTTTGACTGTGATTTCAACCGAACGTAGATTCGAACGTCTCTAACTCAAGTCCACATTCGAAACGTCAACAATACTATTAGTAAATTTACATGTATTAATCTCATTAGTATGTTAGTATAACAAGTAATTAATTAATTACTCTTAATAATATGTGATAAAGAGTAGTACTATTAATTAGTTCTTTTTTTTTTTTTTTCCAATATCATTAATCCTACTTATTAATTTGTTCTATATATGTTACAAGAGTTACCATATATATAACATGGTAAAGTAAAAAATTAAACTTTATTTATCTACATAATTATCTAAACCTTATCAATAATTAAAAACCATTGGCCTCAGCTCATCCCAGCTCTCTTCTTTGAAATATTCATCATCTCCTTTCTGGTTCGAGAAGCTTAAATGCGATGAAGCAATAACTGGATACTGAAGATCAGTTGTCAAGGTCTTCAGATGGCCGGCAAAGGACAAGCTATAATTCCTTGATCCAATGCTATACTCATCAGAAGAGGGCTTAATAGACTTTTCACTGCTCGCCGCCATTGCAGTTAAAACTCCATAGCTCATCATCTTCATATTCTTATTATTATTATTATCTCCTTTAGCATTTGTCTTCTGCCTGGACTGATCTGTTGCAGTCCTCTTGTAAGAAGTATCACGTTTAAAGACTCTGCATAATGTCCAAACTTCCTGCATGCCACAATGCACATTTCAAAATACATATATTACAATAAAAAATTAAAAATAAAAAATTAAATAATCACAAGATCGATAATTCTATCATCAGCTTGAGAGTAAGCTTAGGTTGGGGTCCATGTTGATACATCTATGCATTCAACTAATCATATGTATAAAATTTCAAGACGTCCACACTTAATATATAAGAAAATTTTCAGGTGCGGATATCTCGAAATTTTTAACGTGTGAAACAAAGGTGAATACCTAATCGTTGGCTTTGATTTTGCATTTAGTGAAACTATATATATATATATATATATATATATAGCCAACATCTTAAAATTTTTAATATGTGGATCAAAAAAGAGCGTCTAGTCACTAACATCACAAACCCTGAAACTAAAAGCCAGCAATTGGATACTCACTTTTGTCCTACAAGTTAAAAAATTTATGATGTTCACACCTGGAAACTTTTTTGTACATATATAATTAAAAATTGAGAATAATATTGCACACAAAGTAAACTTAGTGAATTTAATCTTACAGCTTCTGGCTGAGCATTACTGCTTATAAAGATCTGACCATTAACAGAGATGTTCGTGGTGGTTTTGGTGGCAGTGGCCGGAAGGCGAAATTCGTGCATCATCCAATCGGTCTTAGTACCTTTGCCTCCATTTCCTATGTAATAAACCAAGGACTTCTTGAGGCCAATAATACAGTCATGATGAGGAAACTCTAAAATAGAGTAAATAGGCTTGTCAATCCCAGTAGCTTTCCAAAACCCTGATCCTGTGGCTGTAACCCTATTCGGTCTCACACTATTTCTATATTTTCTTCCTCTTCTACAGAAGAAGTACCACTCTTTCTCTCCATTGGTTCTACCTCCTGTAAATATAAAATATTACAACTTATCAACAACTCAAAACATAATACATACATATATATATATATATAGCTAGCTTACTTGGAAGATCCCATGGATCATATTTGTAGATATCAATCTCTTTGATGAGATGATCAATAAAAACAGCTTTCTTCTCCACTTTCCTTTTAAGATAAAACCCTACTAGTTCTTCGTCCATCGGATGAAATCGAAACCCTGGAAGCTCCACTTCTTCTTCTTCATGGCCTTCATTCTTACAAATATTCAAACCATCCGCCATTTTCTCCACCTCCATTATTTTTTTCTCCTCCTCTCACTCAATCTTATCCTCGATCAATCAAATTTATAAACAATAATAATATCAAGAGGCTAACATTAATAATTAATATCCATTTAATCTGCTAGCTAGTCAATAGATTTGACTGTCTTTATATGATTTTTTTAATTAATTATTAATTAAGTTCTAATCAAAGACTTAGCTCGTACGGAGAATTGCATGGGAGATTTTGTTGGTACATTTTGACTTAGTAAATTTAAAGATTGAATAATGAAGTTGATTATGACTTTAATATATATATATTTGAAAATATTAATTTGCCTTAAAAGTCATTAGATGGACAAAACTTCTTGGACTAAATTGGATTTTCATTTGTTTCCATGTACTTCTAATATTCATCATGTGAAAAATTAGCTAGTTTTTTTCATCGACATGACTCGTAATAATATCAATCTTATAAGCAACCGGGAGGAATTCTCAAAACCATATTTTTGTTACACAATTTGTGATGGTATAATTCGTTACATTGAATCTCAACCATTCAAAATGTAATTTATATTTTTTTATAATATTTAAAAAAAAAAGTAAATAATTACCTTAACTTTTAAATAATATCTTAATTATAAATAATATTATCAATTTGTATTTATAGTTATTACATATCTACCCGCTAATCTTAGGTGCGAACGTTATTATATTTTTAATAAACAAATTTGTAAAATTATCAATAATATTTTATAAGTCTGTATGTTAAAAACTTAAAAATTATACACTAAAAGACAAAATATTTTCATGTTTGATATTTGTTTTCCTATGTAAATTTGTTCCAATTTAACAAATTTACGCATTAACAACTTTAAATTTTTTATATATACATATACAAAAAATATAAATGAATCATGAACATTTTTCTCACTTTGACATGGTCAATTATTTCATTTATCTATTTAATCTTCTTAATATTTATTTCCATTAAAAATTGTAGGCTCATCAAGTCACAATCTTTGGCCGGGTAAAATAAATATTTGTATAATATTTGTCATTTGATCTAGCTAAATCATACATTAATTAAGTATTAATTCTTGAAAAACCTTTCACTATCAATTATAATTTTATTTTTCAAAATTTTTGGTGGTATTATAAACAAACTGGTTCTTCCCATATTTAATTATGATATCAATTTTGACTTATTATATATGAAGCCAAAGGATTCATTAGAATTTTGAATTATGGTATTTTATTATGATATAATTAGCTCCCTTTACATCATAGTATAGGGTACTACTATTCATCTTCGGTTAATTGCTCACATTTTATTCAAAAAATGGGTTAGAGCGATATTGATTTGGACACAACATGAGAATTCTATGAGGTCTAATATACTTATTCAATCGAATAAGTATTAAAATAGAGAAATCTATAGGCTCAATATTAATATTTTATATATCTCTTATTTATTACCTATATTTACACTTATATCTGTTTTTTATTTTTAATTAAGAATTGGAATCTTTAAAAGGCAATAAAAGGACGAAAGTACGAAAGCAAAAAATGTAGAAATGGAACCGATTTTCAACTCAAGGGGGACTAAACAAAAACAAGGGATTAATCAAAAAGATTATTTTCATTTTCTGTATTGTCAAAAAAAAAAAAAAGATCATAAATTGTATTTATATCAATAATACCCACTTTTTAAAAATGTATATGACAAACACATTATAGAAATATCAGTAATAAAAAAAATGTTCAGTTTATTGATAAAATTACATGTTATATGTCTTTAAAAAAAAATAAAAAAAACAAAAACCATCAAATAATTGTTCTTTACGTCTCATTTGCATTTATATACAAACACCTACTAAATTTGATAGTCAAAAGAGTTGTAATCAAGGAAAATATTTCAAACCTTATTAAATCAAAACAAGAAAATTGTTTCATGGTAGTTGAGATATATCTAGCAACTTTCAAGACTTAGAAACTCTTTAATGACATAAATTTATAATAAACAATAAAAAAAAATGTGACAACTATTTATGTTGTGAAAACAATCTATGCTGCCTTAATTTCAAAGTATGTTAAGTTTTGGTCTATTCGTACAATTTCTAGAGTGTTAAGAATTGGAAGCAATCTTGCAATTCAAAGTCTAATGTTTTCTGGTAAGAAAATAAATTAATATTGATTGTATGATCTAGTAATGTTATTTGATTGATTTAATTTCTGGTGTTGATGAGGTTTTTTTTTTTTTTTCCTTTCATTTTTAATAAGATATTTAAATATATAAAAAATTATTTTTAAAATAAAAATTGAAACGAATATTAGTAATGTTGATTGATTATCCATGTTAAATCACCAAGCCGTCTTAGCTCAGCGGTAGAGCGCGTGGCTTTTAACCACGTGTTCGTGGTTCGATCCCACAGACGGCGTTCTCAATAATTTTTAAATTTAATATTTTCCATTTACTTTACCAAGTCTAACATTTTTCATTTACCCCCCTACCCACATACCCTTTTTTACCCGTTTTTCTTTCATTTTCTACAAAATTTTCTTTATTTTCTACAAAATTTCTTTATTTCTATTGAATTTTCTTGATAATTTGTTTTTCTTTCTTGTTCCCCTTACATTTTCTACTATTGCATCAATTTCTTCAACACACCAGCTCAGCACCAAATCTGAACAAACAACAAACTCATAATAACAAATCCTTATACAAATTATCAATCGTTGATAAAAAAAAAAATTTATAAAAATTAATCTATTTAAGTAAAGTTTTTCATTCAAAATATATATTGTGTTTTAAATGAAGAATTGAATTAATATTATATGACAATTGAACTTTTTTCAATCTTGTCAAAAAAGAAAAATTAAGTTGGTTTTTATGAAATATTTTAGAAAATAAAAGAAGAAATTGTGAAAACAAATAAAGCAAATTATGTTTGTATGATGATAAAAATTTCTATATCTTTGTCCCTTGTTTTATGTATTTGTATTCACAAATATTTATGTTGAATAAAAGTGATTACTCAAAATTAAAATTTTCACCGAGATTGAGACATTTTTTCTTATAAAATTAGGGTGAATAACAATATGTAAACCATTAACTTAGATATTTTTCACAAGGTTTTGATAATCGGACCGCCCCTTGACCCGTCATAAAATTAAACTTTACACCGAATTGAGACATTTTTCTTATAAAATTAGACTGAATACATATAGTAAACCATTAACTTAAAACATTTTCATAAGGTTCTAAATCAAACTGTCTCTTGACTAACTCATATTAAACTCATTCATGGATTGAGACATTTTTCTTATAAAATGGGCTGAATAACATAAGTAAACATTAACTTACTTTTTCCACAAGTTTCTGATAACCAGACTGCCCCTTGACCTGGTCATGGGACCATTCCGATTTTTGTCGATTTTTGGCGGTCCACACAAGTTTGAAATTTAAAAGAAATACCCCTATAAAATTCCATAAGTCTTTGTAGGTTTAAAATATATCAAATACACCCATGTGTCTAGGCAGAAATCGCAAATCAGACGGCGACGAAGACAATGATCGACAGCCAATCGGAGTTTGGGTGATGGGGGTTTTATATGGAGATAAGTTATGTTGATGGTGGTGTCATGTGGGGTGTTTGGCGCCGAATCAAGGAGGAAGTTGCCAATTTCTCACAAGGAGATAGCGGTGGTGACAACGATTGACGACTAATCATACCTCGGGATGATGGCGGTTTTGATGTGGATGAAGTTGATGCCGATGTTGGTGTTAGGTAGGTTGTTTGGCTCCGAAATCGGTCGGAATCAGGTGATTTGAAATCCAGCAAAAACGTCCCTAATTACATTAGTTCCTATAGGTTTAAATTTTAGCAAAACACCCCTAAAATTAAAATTAGTTCGTCACTTTTGAAGTTCACTAACAACCCTATAATCTAAATCGGATTGGAGAGGGCGTCACACTGTCCAAACAGTGTGGCCACTTTGATCGGTTGCTCCAGTTCGGTTTTCAGAACACTGGTTTTTCCAAAGCTCACTTGCGTTGCATTCCAAGTGAGCTTGGGGCTCCTTCCGCCCCTAACTATTCTCCTTCGATTTTCTTTAATATTGATCATGTTTACTCATATTGGAAGATAAGAGAGAGAAGAAAAGGGAAAAAAAAAATTTTACTTTTGGTGTTGTAAGACAGAAATGTCCCTATGGCGTTAAAGTTGCCAACTGATGATAAAACAAGGGCGTTTTTAATACTTTTAAAACCGGGAATGCATTTTAAAACGTAGCTATCCCTTCGGGGTTAAATAAAAGATCCTCATCTTTTTATTCGCTTGCTTAACACCTCTCTTTTTCAAGATGACACGATGATCCAGTGCTTCGCATCAGTACCACCGCTCCATGCTTCTCACCATCACTCCCTCCATTTTCTTCCTTCTAAATCACCACCACGTTGCCGTCTTCTTCTTCATCTCCATTCTTATCAACAACAACAACATCAAGAAGAGCAGTTCTATCTTTCCCCATCATCACGACCACTTTGAGTGCCTTAACTTTACCATTCTCCTCTCCTACTTCTTCAAACGCCGCATCCGCCCCACCGTCGAGCTTTCCGAGCTCCCGAACTCCGGCGGCGTCAAGGCCTCGACCTCCGAACTGGGTCGGGCCCAGTTCCCGTTAATGGTGACCAGTTACGATCTTTAGTAAAATCTTTCAACTAGTAGTGTTTCAATTTCTGCTTTATTTTTTAATTAAAAAATTAGAATATCTAATTTTTTTTTTGTGATTTATCTTTGTGTTGTACTTCTGTTTAATTTAATTTAATTCATTGCATATTGATATTGAATTTAAGCATGATTTTTAGTTTTTGAACGTAGGGATTCAAAGTAAATTTGATTGAAATATTTTCGATAACTGTTTTAGGAACATATTGTTGGATACTGAGAGTTTTGAATTTTATTTTATTTTTTGAAATTATTTTCGGATTAGAAATCAAACGAGGTATGAATGAGTGTTACAGGATTAGTGCTTAATTGGTTGT